CTGGACAAAGCTGGAAGAAGCGGCGCGGCTGTCAGACCATGACAAGACGGAGAGATATAAAGAAGCCAGATTCAACTTTGGCTTCGTTTGGTGAAGCTCACTTTTCAGGCTGGAGCCCGATGGGTGAGACTTGTAATTGGTTAGGGACGCCAAGAGATATGATCCAGAATAGAAGTCAGTGGTGCGAATGCTGTAAGGTCTGCCTGTTGAAGTCCTGTGCCCCTTAAAATAAGATAGACTAACACAATGAAGAATATCAAAAAGTGTACGGTGAAACACAAAACATGTGTTCTTATTCTTGTTATCTACTGTTATCCATTGCAACTCTTTAACCTCCATTTCACTCTGTGCTGTATCTCGATTTACCTCACCCCCTATTACTGTTATTATTGTTGTGACTTTAGCAACATCTTCACCGCAGTCCGATGGTAAAAAAATGTACTATCTAATATTGAATGCATCAACTTACTAATGACTTACGGTATAGTAATCATCATGATCATGAAGATGATTCGCGTCACTTGAAGTATAACGAGGAAATTGCGAAAAACTTCGTAGAAATTGCGGCTTATTACTCAGGCGGTGGTGGCCCGTTGGTAAAGTCACCAAATTATCACCCCGGAGGACGAGTGTTCGAGTCCCACCACCACCGCCTGACCTTCCTCATGTATGTAGTATGGCAGTCCTTCGATTAGCCGCTTCCCCCTATCTGAAAATTGCATCATTGTGTAGTCAATAAAAGGAAGTTAATGATTCACGAGATGTTCAAAAATGCTTGAGATCGCATATGTTGCATGAAAGGGGCAAAGGAGAACAAGCACTAAGAATGAAAAAATGATAAACATTTTGAATGATTCTAATTCAGTTTGAACACGTTTTCAATGTTCGATATCCTCGGGTGTTACCCCCAACTTTGTCTGATTTGGTATTCAATAAAAATAGTTTTGACAGTACGAAACGTTTTCCTGGTCAATTTCTAGTTCCATCTAAAAGGTGAGATCATGAAAAAACTCAGATAGCGAACAAGAGACGGAAAATATCACGCCTAAATGTGTTGAAAATCCCGGTGAAATGATGCTCGCTGTTCTACGCAACACCCAGAGTAGAAGTTTCTGAACTAAAATTTCGTAGCGCACGTCAATCACTTAATGCCAAATTTCATAAGCCAATACCTTTGAATGGAACAATGATGAAACGCTGTTCCTTTTGACGCTTCCTGGTTGGATCGCTGTCTTGGTGGGTCTCGTAACCTCTCACTTATACATAAAGACGTACTTAGTCCGAAGCAAGAATCCAGTGAGACTGGTGTGCGAAAAATCCCGGTGTCACACGTATTCGGTCGTTCGATTTGGTTATCTAAGGCGCTGTCTTTACATGGATGAATTGTCGGTATGCATACAGAAGACAAGATTGTCATTTGTCAACCAGAGACATCCATAGTGCCTTCTTGACAGTCGGCTGTCCGTGGAAGGTCGAGTGTGCACTGTCGGAATTTCAGCCGGTGATGCTTTACTGTGCTGAGACTTGGTCACTGTGGGAATGGGATCAATGTAAATGGTCGGTGCTGGCACACCGCTTTCTATGCCACATTGCTCGTTTAGTGGTGCAACCGGACAAGCGATGCTGAAGTTACATGCAGAGTTTTAGATAATCACGATCGCCTACTTGGGCAAGTGATTGACATCCAGAGATTAATTTGGCTGAGGCATCTGGTACGCATGTCACAAAATAGATTCCCTTAGCTCGCGTTGTTTGCCGGAACAGTTTATCGGTGGAAAAGTCAAGGGTGGTCAAGATGAGACCTGGTATGAAGGTATGAAAATCTTAACAAGGAGACGCGGTCATATATATGTCACGTCTTGTTCTCTGAATGGGGTACTCGGGATCACAGTAACCGGTGATTAGAGGTGTTGAGTGAATTGATTGTGTCGTAAACAGGGCCTCTCGTGCATCCACTTATTATCTTCCCAACCCTACCCTCTATGTTAACGCTGTATTTTTACATAAATTCTGCTCTCAACCAAAAGGGCAGTCGAAAAAAAAACAGCAACTATTACCGCCACACGACAGGTACCTGTTTATAAAACAACTGAAAATGGGAATATCTTCAAACTTGTTACCCCAATGGGCAGCCAAAAGACAGCAACCAAAACCGGCGCACGAAAGTGCATGGTTAATGGCTGTTCAAAGTGAAACTGAAACTGAAACCCCATCAAACTTTACATTCAGCGCTACAAAAGATTATTGTTTATAACGATCTACTTTAATTCACCGTCTCCTCAAAATCATCATACATCTTACAACAAATGAATATCAACTCTGAAACATGTGAAACGCATGTCTGAACCAACCATTGAAAACAATCGTTCACCATCGAATGAATAGATGGTCAGAGTTGGGATCTGTCAATCTCATGAACTTCCTGACGTCAACTTGTCCGCTGCATGGGGCCACCCAAAATTCGGTCCGTCTAGATTGACTATCATTTATGTAACCGATATGGCTACGTCCTAACGAAATGATAAACAACACTTACAGCTCATGTCATTTCATCCTCTAACGTTTTTTTTGCATTTTCAAATTGTTTTACAGCGTGAAGTTTTATCCATTCATGTGGGTCAGGCTGGAGTGCAAATGGGAAACGCGATATGGGAACTCTACTGTGCAGAACATGCGATCGGTATGGACGGTTTTCAGACAGCAAAACCAATGGAACAAGAATGTCAGTCCACTTTTTTTCAAACATCTCCCCGTGGCCAGTGCGTTCCACGATCCATCTTCATCGATCTGGAAGCCTCCGTTATAGGTAGGTGGATGGATAGTCATGATGATGCTGGTCCCAGTGGTCCTGGTTGGCCGTTTCTAAATGAGACCACGTAAATTGATATCGATTGATGATGCTGATTATTTGTTTATTCTATTTTAATCCATCCCCGGTGCTAACGTGAGTGAAACGTTTTGTAGCCAGTCCAACCACACGATTCACATGAAAACTGTCTTCATAATAAAAACTCAAATAGTACAAGAACAATCTCACTCATCCACTACGATTTCACTCAATGATACTCATTCGTATATTAATCGTATGCAAACAATACAACTTAATGGATAAGCTTGTCTTCAAAATCTAGCTAATGAATAAGGTACATGGGAGGATTTATCGAGAAGATAATACAAGATTATGGTGAAGGAACACAATAAACAAGGGTGGATGGGGAAAAGATTTGGTATAAGTTTGTTTTTTTTGCTGGAAGGATATGTCTACAGGCAGAACATATTCCACAAAGCCTACCAGGTACAATAATTAGAACATTAAATACCGTCAAATTGAAAGCCTCCGAAAATCTCAGTATGGTCGGGGGTGGGTGTTTTTGATTGTGGCTGGGGTCCTCCACCCTTCCTGTACTCCTCACAACATGCTTTCATATAACCAAGGGGCTTAGAACAACCCTATGGCCGAGGTGTTTTCCCACCAAATTGAAACGAAAAGTCAAGATCCGGGGCTATACCCGGGTGGATAAAACAATAAAATTTTCTCTAAGAGGTTGGCTAAAAACCCTGATTCCAAACCAACCAAAAGGAGACATACGAATCACACACGCATCTTTTTCGCTGTGATAGTAGTCACCGGCTCGACTAGAAATGGAAGTGTATTGGGCACCTTAGAAGTTTGACTCCTTCCAAAAGGTGAATGATCCGATGAACTGGACATCGGCCCACAATGGATTGAGGTTTTCACACACCGAACACTACCTTGTTAGTCACACTTTGTCGAATTTAAAGACTTCTGTTATCAGTCCCCGAGAAAATTCTCCTGTTTTAGCTTGTGAAACCTGGCAGATATCCGCTCACAAAAAAATCAGTGAACATTTACATTTAACTCACAGTTACTTTTGAGTGATGGTAAGGAATAATTGATACTGATTGATCGGAACCGACCATCCTTACATCCATCCACCATACACTTGGAAACACTAGACTCGACTTTCGCTCTTAATAAAGCTCATCAGTATTGCATATTCACTGTCTCGTCCGAATTTTGAACCCCAGATCCATTACATGGAAGGTTGAAACAGTGGTAAGACACTCCGTCCGTGGGATAGGTTAGGAGTTCAAAGCCCGGATAGGACGGTCGATATGCACTGCTGATGAGCTGTAGTGAGAGTGAAACTCGAGTCTCGTGACTCCGGGTGAATGGTTGACCGAATGAACTGAGGATTGTGCCTGGAGGTGAAGTCCGAAGGATAGTCAGTTCAAAATCAATAAATTTGCTCTTTTTCAAAATTATTTTACTATGACGTTTTCGGTACAGTCGGGATTCAGACCCCTGTGAGATACAATACACAAATGAAAACTATTTTCATATTCAAGCCAAATTCGTGTTTTCCACTAAATAACTGGTTGCCAACCTACTGCAGCCTCCTGCGTGTAATTATTGATCAGTTTATGTGGAACTAAGTGCATTAACCCTATAACGGGACCATTCTATAATCGAGTTCCTGATCGCTAAACGGTTTGATTGAATAGTAGAACACAGAAGACTCCGAAGAACTTGATCTATTAGCATCTCGTTGAGTACCTACAATAAGAAGATTTAGTGCATGTGATTTCTTCACGACCGTGAGCTTTATCAGGTAAGGTTGCCGTGTCCTCAGGTGTTCATGTGCGGACTCCCTCCCCCAGTGAATTTCGTAGATGGACACGGCAAATGTACACCAAGTATTTTTCCCCTTGAGTAATCCGTTTACCGGACCGGACACATATATGATAAATATCACAGCTTACCAGTTTTATGTACTTTCGTCGTTGTCGAACTGTCAGACGTGCCAATTAATCGATTGTCAAATGTCCGCTTAAACCAATCAATTGCAATGGGACAAACAGCGTGAACTGATAAGGAATTCCAACAACAGCATAAATGAATGATACCAGCATTCCAGTAGATATTTTTATAACACTAACTAAAGTTGATTTCCTGTAAGGCAAACTTTGGGCCACCACGCCAGTAGTGGATGACATGGGTAGTTGAAGTTCTGCGGTGCTTTGCTTAGCAAAACCAAGTCTCCTTTGATTTGATCTTACTGAAATGAATATATACCCAATGATTGCGATGGTTCCACATGGGTACCCTCTTAGTGAAAATTCTCGGTGGACGTTCCAAAACCTTGTAATCCTGTTGCGGCCACAGCCTCCAGGCTTGATAATGTGTTCGAGATATGATCGATTTCACGCTGATCACAAAATCGGGAGGAGTGTTGGCTCAGATCTTATAGACATGCCTAGTACACCAAAACACCTTGGAGCAGCTTGTCGAACTGTTTTGGTTTTCCTGGTAGCCTCTTTCGAAGTATGTGACGATTTTTGATGTCCTTGGAAGCGTGAGAATCGATTGTTCGTGGGGTCGTGATTTGACAGCATATTTAAGCGAATGAAATGCACTTCTCAATCGACCCTCCCTGAGCTACCCTATACGACAGCCAACTTTGTAAATAGGTGAAATTAATTTTTGTTTCCATGGTGGCGGAAGCGTAGCCTGATAGAAAATTTGTTGGAAAAACTAGATTAGTGGTTTTAGTGTGTGGCTTCTCCGAGGGGCAAACGTGTGTGTGTGTATGCGTGGTATTTAGCCCTAGAGATGTATTTCTTTTAAAAGCCCATAGCTCTGATTTTATGTTGTTTTTTTTGGGGGGGAGGGGAACTGATTGTTATTCGGTTTCAATGTGGAACGTGACCTACCAAATAAGAGAGTGGTAGCCCTATGTTATCAGGTTATTCGGTACTTGGGAAAAACAGAATCTGAAGCATTTCAGCACCTCGGTTCACTGTGGCAGAGACAGGTCCTATCAAAATTAAGGCCAAAGACACAGAATTTACCTGTCGGAAGGCATTTCTCTATATTGTCCAAAGGGTTTTGGATTAGATATGATTGTATGTGCTAATATTTCTTGGTACACCAACTTGTCTTTTCGGGTCAACTTGGTGCACTGGTTTTGCAGTAAGCTTTGAGTACATAGTCTCTCTATGAGCAAGTCCTCCTAAAAATCACTTTTTTGTTCGACTGCGAATTCATAAATTGTGACCATTTGATCTTTGACTTTTACCGATTCTGTGAAAGGATTTACTAATTCGTGTCAGGATACCACAGGATCTTGTACTCTGCTTTATGGAAAACCCGTTGGAATATTTTGCTCCAGTAGCTTAGGTTTGTGTAACCAATAAAGGTACAAATGTCATACGTAGAAATCCGTGGTAAAGACGCGTGACAAATTTAGTACAGCATGTTTAGGGTGCTCTGATGTTAACATACTTCCATCATTCACTGCTCATTTGTAGACACTGGAACAGGAAAGTTCATGGTTCACGGTTGTAAAAATTGAAGAATAAAACGGACACCAGGTCCATGATTCCCGGTGATAGGGTCGGCTCGAAACCTGGTTTATTTCTTCATGTTATTATGAAGTTGATGCATTCTGAACTGTTTAACTAAAAGATCAGGCGATAACTTAGTCAGATCTGGGCAGTTGGAGTCAACTTGAGTAAACACATATGTCAACTTTAGTGGAGGACTATGATATACGGTTTCTCGGGGCTTCTCTGTGACAGAGTCTGTACTTGAATAAGTACGGCAGACCGCAACGACAAAGCGACCGTTTCACTTTGAACCAAACCGAGTCAGAGGTCCCCAACAGGATAATCCATTACTGCAAATCAGAGCCGTACACCATTGTTACTCGTAAAGTGATCACATCCGATCAGCGTCATACCGTGCACGCACAACTCTTAGATTAGAATATTGGCGGTCAGCTAATTTTCCGTTACCGCAGTAATGCGCCATCGGTCACTTGGCAACGCAGTTCTATCTCTGAAAATTTGTCGAGGAAACTTTGAAACATTATGCCGAAACGCGTTGGAGTAAGAAGCATTGGTTGAGCGAACAGACCTCCTCGAGTTAGATCAGGGGAAGCTTTTGGACTGAGTCTATTTTTAGGTCTGGTCCACTGGTTGCGGGAAAGGACGTTAGATCTATGATGATCTAAATGGTGATACCGATGGTAGCGATATTTTCCACGATGGGTCAATTTTCGAGTCCTGAATTATGCATGATCCTTATGCACACCTCTGGAGGATTCTTGTTTCCGCTATCTAAAGACGGTAGAAGACTGCCGTAGCAGTTTCTGGTGTTCCCAAGGTTATTCTCAGTATCTTTGAAGATCGTCCTACAAACAAAACCTGTTACATTCACGCCGAAGCCTTCGATAGTGGGGGCAAAAGGTGAGGGCAATACCGCCTTGACGCTTATTTGCACAAAGATACCTAAACCGACAAAACAACCACTGAGAGAACGACAAGAAGAGCAGCTGGAACACTGGAAGGGTTTGTGCACGCAGATGGGCATTAATGTTCTACCCATGGGCCTCGCAAGACTTATGCGTCAGCCGACGTGGCCACATGCCGGGGAACCCAGACTACTCCGGGTGACCCTGAAAGATGAAAAGGACTTGGAGGACGTTCT